TTTAGATGGCAGTTACAACCTCTTATCTACCTATAAAAACTCAACAAACTCAACTGAGTTAAGGGCTGGCTTTTTGGTACGGAGAAGCAGCAAATTAGTTCTTCAGGATCTCAACTGCACAGAGAGGCAGGAGAGAGGCAAAAATCCTTGGAGATAGGGTTTTTAAATCAAGTCCAGAAGATCAAAACCGAAAGGATTCTTCAACAACAGAATATCTGCTTGGTCATTAACCGAATTTTCGGTTCTAACAATTCTATTCATAGAGTTCTAACTCGTTCAGAGTTACCCATCAAACTTTGCACAGAAGTTCATCGTTCCCACAAGATAAAAGACGGTCGGATCGTCAACGGAGAGCAAATTCGACGTGAACAATCGAAGGAGGCACTCCATCGCTACCTTGAAGAACCCAGTTTTAAACAAAGGAGAGAACCAAATTTGTTCTCTTCTCTTTTGTAATCGAATTGTAACCGGAATCAAAGAAATACAAGTCAATTTTCTTTTGTTCTTTTCATTGCAATTTTTCCAACATACAACTATAAACAAATATTATTGGAACTTTTAAGGCTATTGACTATGGATTCACATTAGGTCTTGACGCTTAAGTATGTGCATATGAACTTGAGCCAGAAGCATAGGAAACATGTGGGAGAGAGAATTCAAAACTTGAGCCAAACATCTACTTCATTGTATAAAGTAACAGTAAAAGTGAATTGAATAGTGTGCATATAAACAAATGTTAGTAATGACGTAATGGAAATATTGAATAGTGTAAAAGTTTTATTTAATGGAAATTAGTTGACACTTGAGTCATTGTATTTCTCTCTGTGTGACCCACGGTTCCCATCTCTCCTTTAATTGCTCAAACAACCTGAACAGGTCTATATCCAACAATCATATATTTCTGCACATTGTATGTTTACATGAAGAAGCAAGGGATAGAGTACTAGAGTTCATTAGTCAGTAGCATCAGGTCTACATTATCCATGGTCTCAAAATGCTCAATTGATCAGTATGAATATGGCTTATGCATGCTTGTGTGTTTATAAAAAGACAACTCAACAAATATATCATTATCACATGATTCGCATAAAAACAAACCAAAGAATTGTATATCATACTTGACATAATCATAATCATTCAATGTAAAGTTTGATACTATGTAAATAGACAAAGGCCGAATGTATTATTACCTTGCAGAAGATGTACACCTAAAAATCTATTGCTACGAACCGATGATCACGAATCGGCTAGAGCCACTCGTGCTGATAACGTGTTGTAATTTTGTTGTACTATTTACATACATCATATATATCAACAGTAAGAATCAAATATGAAATATAAATGTAAATAGACAAAAGAAGAAATAGGGAGAAAAATGAATCTCATTTTATTCATCTTCCTCATTTCTCCATACATTTTATCTTCCATGGATTACATTATATAGATGTGGAAGAGAATACTAAAAGTCACAAGTAGGTGAAGAGACTTCTTCTAGTAATGTCCACATTCATTGTATTTATATTTACAACAGTTTTCAGTACAATGTAACTTTTTTGTCAATATTTATTTACGTATAACCATATAATATCTAATTTATGCTGATTCCAGATGCATGCTAAACAATAAATTCTTTGATGTACATGCATGAAATCTTTAATTAAATGCAGGAAATAAAAAAAAACTTCATTGAAAAGAACCTCACATATATAAATTGAACCTCATACATAATTGGTTCAAACAGTTAGCTACGCACAGTAGGCAAAAATAATATCACTTTACATACGTACACAATGTCTCGTGTTGGAGTTACGGTTTTCCTTGTTCTGTGCATGATTTTTAGTGCAGCAAGTAAGGCATCTATTGGTTATATTGGTTAAATGACACTTAAACTCCCTATTGTTTCACCAGCTTGCTATTGTTTCACTATTTTTATATTTAAATACTCTGAGTTATACAAAGTAGCATTTTAATATTTTAAGTTGTAAAAAATTAGCACATTAGTACGTACTTTTTGTTAGTTTTCATATGAAAATATTTTTAGGAAATTATCTTGCCGGCTAACAAAATGTACTAAAGCGCTATTTTTTGAACAACTTAGGGTTATAAAAGTGTTACTTTCTTATAGCTTAGGATATTAAAGTGTTACTTTTTTTTTGCAACTGGGGAGCTTAGAATATTTAAGTACAAATGTGGTGGAACTACAAGGTATTTAAGTGTCAGTTTTTACAACCTAGGACATCAAAGTGTAATGTTCTTACAACCTAGGCATTTTAGTGCTACTTTTTATAACTTAGGATATTTAAGTATAAATACGATCAAACAGTTAATAGTGTAGTTAAATGTCATTTAGCCGCTACCAGACATATTTCAGGTTTTGTTAAGCGACACTCGTCAGTAATTAAGGAGTGGGATGGGGAGAGGTTTCTTAATTAGGAGAGAGAGAAACAAAGTTGGGAATGCTGGATTACCCCACGCTCCCTGATCCCTTCTCCTCTTTGAGGCACTTATTAACAAATTCCGACATCTTTTGATCTTTATATTAATTAATTATGACAAAAAAATTTAAAATCAATAAATCAATATTTTGCTCTTTGATAATTGAATTTTCAGGCTATGCATTTGCTGTGGAGTGCTGCTATGAACATCACAAATGGGGTCCTAATAGTAGTCGGCAGGGTTGCTCTGGTGACGAAGACAACAGAGCATGCAATGAATGGTGTCAAGCATCATGCAGAGGAGGAGAGTGCAAGTATCGTGGAGGCCAAGTTTGTCACTGTTATTGTTGATTTATTTGCCTAATTTTTCGGCAAATTAAATTAAATATATGGAGCACTATGCTTGAATAATAAAAAGAATATATATCAGGAAGTATTAAATAAAGATATGATCTTCTTCATGGTTTTCTTGTGTGAGCGATCCTCAAAGTAATTATTTGTCGTTTTAATTATTTTTAATGGTCATGGTAGAGGATTTTGGAGGAAAAAAAATATATGACGAGCGTGAAGTATTAAAAATCAAATATTCTTAGTCTTATTGAAGGAAAACATAACAATTTTCTCCAAGAGAGAAATGTGAAGATTAGCCTAGCTTGCGAAATCATGCATATTAGATTATGATGTAAAATTTCTTTCAACAACAGCGGTATTATGATATTGTAGGATTTTATAGTTTATTAATTATTTTTTAGATTTCACAAAAATCATTGTTCTGTCAAGTTTTTATTTCCAAAAGTTAATTAGAATGTGATAGTTGGAGGAATATAGTTTCTATAACACAAGTAATATGTAATTCTAGCAACATCCTATTTTCTTTTTTTGTATTTCAGCTTATTTTTTTTCCAGCTAATTAACACTGTATTTGGATTTGCAAATGTATTTACTACAATAAAAAATTCAGACATCCAAACTACATATTTCAGATTACTTTCTAGCAATAAATGATGTATCAAGTACTTTCTTCATAAAATATCTTGTGCATTTCTAATTACAAGATAGCAAACGGTCCTTTAGTTGAAATCCGCTCTTTTATATTTTTATGGGTTATTACTATTTAGGGAACCATTATAGTTGACTTTTACTATGATAAAGGTATATATAGGAGCTAGAAATAAAAAGTTACAGAAGAAGTTAGTAATATAAATAAAAAAAAGAAAGAATCTAAATATTTATCTATTTTGCTTGATCGCAAAAACATCAGAATTATTTTGCTAAATAGAGTTGCCAATGTTGCAATATGAGAACATATACAAACTCCTTTTTTTGAATAGGTGAATGTGTAGGACGGCAAGCACTTTGTAAATAAGTTTTCATCCCTTAATATAGACGCATTTATATGCTAGAGAGGGTCCTTAGGGGTGGGCACGCCCCAGTTTGAACCGTTGGCCAAACATGCCCAACCCGCCTTGGGTCAAGACCAGGCCCGACCTATAGTGGGCTAGGCCCAATTTGCCTTGTGATGTACCAGGTTGTGGGTCAAACTAGGTTTTGTTCTAAACCCATCGACAAAGAAGTAGGTCAGGCTCACGCTCGGCTTGGCCCAGTCTGTCTTAGGTGACAGTTATATATTTGATGTGATTTTAGTAGCAATTTAATTGAAAATTACAACCTTCAAGTTTTCAATTGTAATTTTAGTAGAGATTCTAAGCTCTATTTGGTATTTTGATGAATACTTGCAGTTATTTTTATTTACTGAAACACTCAAATTATTGGGGATATTTTGTCATTTGAAATAATTCTATCACCAATTATAGATTTATAAGGTTTAGACTTTTAAGAAAGATCAAATACAAAGATAAAATATAGAGTATCCACTTTAGACTATACATACTAATCTAATAAACAATTTAAAAAAAAATGCAGATCGATCCGTGACATGAAACTTTGTGGGCCGGGTTAGGATCGACGCTACCCTATGCGGGCAATGGGCTGGACTGAATCCAAACCTAGAACTAGGGACAAGGTCCTTGACCCAACCCGCCGATCCCACCGAAGCCCGGGTCTAAACCCACTCTTACCCAAAATCGACGTGGGCTTGGTCCCGGCCTAGCTCATGCCCACCCCATAAAGGGATGACACTACTAAGAGATAAAGGAAGATATTCTCTTCTCTTCCTTCTTCCCATTTGCCCCCATCTACTTTACATGATGCATATAAAATAGGATTATATTGATATCAAGCCCATAAATCTTTCATATTTTGAACTAGTTCCCCAAATCAATGATATTGCTATTACGTACCCATATGCTAAAAGTTGTTTTCAAATTAGTCCCCTCAATTAGCATCTATTCAAATTGAGGAAAATAACCCTTTAACTTTAAATTTTCAGGCATATGAAAAACTCAGTGTCAAAGAATTTGGGGTAATTTTGCTAATACAAAATATGAGGAGTACATGTGCAAAACTTAATATGTGAGGGGTAATATACGCAAAAACCCCCAAAGAAATATGTGAAGCATATTTGCCCCGGGTTGACCATCATCTGCCTAGTATTTCATCATTAAAAACAGCAATTAACAGAGAATACAAAAGCCTCCCATAGAGAGTAGAGGGGTAATAAAAAAAAAAAAGTAAAAAAAGACAAGAATCATCATGAGTTTGTGCTGCAGATGTTTAGAGATCCTGATCGCTATACTTCTCCCCCCACTGGGGGTTTGCTTAAGGCACGGCTGTTGCACTGTATGCACTCTTTTTGCCCAATTCAATTCTCAATTATATTGATTTAATCATCTTATTATTAATTTACTTTTATTTAATGTTAATTTTGACAACAGCTGGAGTTTTTCATATGTTTGTTGCTAACAATCTTGGGTTATCTCCCTGGGATCATCTACGCTGTTTATGTGATTGTTTCTGTGGATCCAGATCAATATCGGAAGGAATATTACCAGACTCTCTATCCCTAGATCTAGATCTACAGAGGATTATTTAGATCGCGTGATGTTTTTTATTTTATTTGAATTAGTTCACAATGAGAAAATTTATTTGTAATAGATTTTCTCAAAATATTAAAGGTTGTGGATTGTCTATGATAACTGTGAAACTTGGATTAATATATTACTCTACATTTTAATTCTCGTTTGGTATGCTATATTGATTCAGATTCCTGGGCGTATTCTCCGTTCTTGATTTTTGGTTTTGATTCTGAATTAGGATGTCATTATTGGGGAGCCAATGTTGATGGCAATTAGTTAATTTTGTATTTATCATAGTTCATTTGTTCCAGTGGAACCCATTTTAAGAAGATGAGGAGTTATAAAAGAGATTTCATTTCATTATGTAAATTTAGGAGTTACGCTTACCTTGGCCTTAGCATGAGAGTATAAGAAGCCCAGTAGACATGTTGAGTAGTTAGTGATATCTTATACCGTAGAGCAAACACTACTTGTCGAAAATTTCTTTGATTCTTTTATTTCAAATCAAACATATAGTTGCAATGGTGCTGCACATCTAATCAGTTTCTAGATGTACTTGGATGTTAGATAATCTCGGTCATTCTACATCTTGTGTTCTTATAATTGCAACTGACATGTTCTTGGAGTTGCACTGTCAAATAATAACGGTCACTCTTCTCTCATCGTAGATTCTAATTTTATGGCAAATCCCTATATTGACTGCAATTTTTTCTTATTGAGGAATTCCTTACCAGCTAGTTACTATAGGAATTTGGATAGTTGCTAGATTATGCTGCTTGAAGACTGCTGGTTGCATATTTGAAGAGTTCCATTTCCTGTTGCAAAATTTTTTGTGGTATATTTTTTTGTTGACAAGGGAACCTTGGCTAGCGCAGCTGGGCACTCAGCCCCTTGGGGACTGACACCCCTGGTTCGAACCTCCCACCCCCCATGCTGATCGAGGGAAGCATCCCGGGTGAGAGATTCGAACCGGACTGCGGCCCAGCTGGACCAGTCAAGTAAACCCCGGTCTCCACCCCACCCCTAATGCGTGGACAACAGGTGAATTGCAAGCGGGTTTCGAACTAGCGACCAGCATGGGATACATAGAGTTTGCTGCCTGCGACCTTATGTTGCAAACATGCACTGTTCAACCATGTACACAAATGGTATTCAGTGGAATATGTGATTAATCCATTACCATGTAAAAAATTCTCAATGCATTATGCAGAGACTGCATGGGTCGTCTCCTTACTACGAAGCCATACAATATTGAGATATTACGCAGGACATTGCTGAATCTATGGCGACCTCGAAAAAAAGTTCGATTCTGAGAAGTTGCTGATCGTACCCTGTTATTCCAGTTTGAGGAGGAAGCTGATCGTGATAGGGTATTGGTTACTGCACCTTGGACTTTTAACAAGCAATTGTTTGTGATACAACCTCTTAAGCCGGGGGAGAAGCTGGAGGAGATTCAACTAATGAGCGCCATGTTCTGGGATACGTGTTCATGACCTACATGTATCATGCATGAACAAAGGGTGTATGCAAGGTTTGGGGAACTCAATTGGTATCTTTGAAATTTTTGATTTTTCGGATAGGGGATCTCGGTGGAGGAATTATGCGCACAACCAGGTGCGTTTGGATATACAGAAGCCTTTGATGTGAGGGATTCAATTTGGTGTAGGTGAAGGTAAGAGCAAGTGGCTGGCTTTCACGTACGAACATCTTCCGATTTTTTGCTATGTATTGGCAAGTTAGATCATTTGGAGCGGGAATTTTCACATGCCTTAGGAGAGAGGGCGGATGGTAGAATAGTGGAGATGCAATGTGGGAATTGGATGAGAATCAACTGAGAACGAGGCAGGTGGAGTTCAGGTGATGATAATATCATTGTGGGAAGGAAGCAACATGATAAAACTATGGAGAAAGCACAAGATGAGGATGAGGACGGGAGTAGGATAATCACAGGCAACATGTTGAGGGAGGAAGCAAGAGGTCAGGGAGTGGATGAGGGTACAGATATGAGTAAGGAGGGAAGTCCGGAGTGGGAAGTGCGAGTCATGGAGAAGAACATAAGACCGAAGGATGTGGAGTAAGTTAGTGGCATATTCTGCAATATGGAAAAATATACTGCTCGAGGTCAAAACGCGAACCCATCGTGGAATACTACACAAAATGTGATGACCAAAGTAATGCATTCATCCAGAGGTACGATAGATGGGCATAATGTGAAGGAGGGGAATGGGGACAACATGAGAACTACACAGAAAGTGGATGTGGAGGTGGAGCATGCATATGAGAGGGAGGTGAATGAAGAGGTGGAGGTCAATGTAATTGGTGTTAGATATTTTGTTAACAAAAGGCAATTTTGCCTTCATGAATTATAATAAATATTGTAATTAAAACATGCAATTAAAATATGTGTAACGGATATATAATTATGGGGAACGTTACAAAATTTATGACGAACGTTACAGAATTAATTACGGGTTTTGTAACGTCTTTTCCAACCCTATATATATATATATATATCCATATGTTAAGCTTAAAATGATAAAGAAAAATATACAACAAGTTTCTCTTGTTTTTCTTCTCTCCCTTACATATTATTTTCATCTACATCTTAGTTTTATTTTATGGGCAACTTCCTTCATCTGAGCTGAAGCTCTGCACTCTCGCCCGAGTGTAGAGGTCGGCCGTTTCCGGGGGTTTTTACCGCTAGGGGGAGGGAACCATCTGCGCCAGGGCGATAGGCGGGTTCTCAATCTTCTAGGGCAGTGAATACACGACTACTCCCGTTCAGATCAGTTTTAATTGTTTAATTTTTCGGATTTATCTGCATGCTATAATCTTAATTATTTGATAAATTTCCAACAACCTAGAAGATTGAGATGTTTATAGCTTTTGATTTAAATCCGAAAAATATATACTTCTTTCTGTTTAAAAAAAATTATTAACTATTTTTTTTGTTGAATAACTTCATTTGTAATGCTACATGAATAATGTGTTACAGTCTTGTGATCATATCAATATCATGCGTCAGTTAAAGCTTATAATATGCCCACAAACATTATTATGTTGGTTGCATGCATGATAACCATCAAGCTCATAGCAATGTGATCACATGCTCACAAAGTGATATCTAATCCATTTGTTTCCCTATGTAACAGTTTTTTTAACAGTTTCAGTTACTGTTAATTTAAAACCATACTTTTCATTTTATAGTAAAAAATTTACTGTTCATTAAAAATCTGTTTACTGTTTACATAGAGAATCATTTTCCTTGTTCATAAAAATGCAATTAATGTTCATTCTAGGAAAATACGGTTTCTGTAACCATTTTCTTACTTTATTTTAATTGCTATGATTAATTATAATTAATTAATGTCACTATAGCAATTAAGTTTTCATGATAGTTACTGTAGCAAATTACAATGCCATTCATAAAGAGTAAAAGTGTAAGTCATGTTCGACATTTTGCATAATTTATGTGAATGTGTAAATTGTTTATTTTACATAGCAGCAATCATTATGATCTCTTAATAGCTAAATCTGTAATTAATTGTTTTAATTACTATTATCTATTGCATTTATTACATTAATTTAATTGTTATTAATTAAATTGTAATTAATTATTACTAATTAAGTTTGACCGTTAATTACAACTTGTTTGTTGTTGTCATTAAACCTTATTTTGATTATATGCACGCATTTGTAATTTATTCTTGAAAGTCTCATGTACATGGTTTTGACAAGAATAAAGAGAACAAACTCTAGATGCATAGATGCTTTGAAATATCTGGATTTGTTCATGGTTTAATACTTTTATTTCTTTAAGCTATCAATAATATAATGCCTTCTATTAATAATTTTATACTTTAGTGTATTTATGCATCTAATAAGCTTAGTACAGAATGTGGTAAAAGTGAATGCAAATTTGTTCAGCAACTTATGTGGCAGTTCTCTGCAGCAGATGGGTTTTTACTCTCAAGACATGAAAATCATGAGGTTCGAACATCAATAGGTAAACCCCTCCTCGGCCTTATCCATCATATGTTTGCAGTATGATTGCTAGGCAAATTAAATGCTTGCAAAAAATATTTTAAAGTTTCTATATTCTGTTAAGAAACAAAAACTCATTGAGTGAACCGATTCAAGTTTTCTTGGATTAGTTGGTGTCTAAGGCAAGGTTTAAGGGTTGCGTAACGCGCTCTGAAAGGAACGAGGTACTTAATTGATCTTTGATCAACCTCTATTACTATCCTTACCTGACTAACTACCCGAGTAAAACTTTAATCTTTTCACTTTAAATGTTTTTGGTTTGGAATAAGAGGAATCAGAATTATGAGAAAAATTCATATGCATTTATTTAATTACGCTTCTTGTATCATATATTGCCTAATGATAAATGATCAATATATGAGCGAACCAAATCAAAGAGGTGCATCTTTTAAAATTCTATTTTATATGGTGGATTATATTTCAAATCTTCAAATGTAAAGTTCATCACTTTTATTGCATTTTGATGAATATTGCAATAAATGTTCATATGTCTTTTTAGATAACTTGCATTTGTTACATGATTAATTACAAGGTTTTATGCAAGAATGCACTTGTAAAATTTAAAGCACATATGTACAATTATTATTATTATTATTATTATTATCTATATAAGAGGTGGTACTAGAAAATGGCAACATAAATTTAGAAGGTCTCTTTTGTAGACAACCAATTTAAATTTGGAAGGTCTCATTTGTAGGCAACCGATTTAAATTTGGACGGTCTCCTTTGTAGGCAACCAATTTGTAACCTCTTATAATAGAATAATTTAAAAATTTTATGCATTTGAATTATGAAGTATGAAATATATTTTAAGATACGAAAATATATTTTAAGATACGAAATCCTATTATGCTCTGCATGTATCTATTATTAATTTCATTCATGTATGTGCATATGCATAACTGCAGAATTTTTAGTTCCACATTAGTTTGAAATGTTCAGATATTAAGGTCAATCTGCACAAACACTATGTGTTTACATCTTCAGACATAGACTATGATCTTTTATGATCATAGATCATGACCTAATGTCAAATTCAAACAATATGATGGACTAATTACAAAATAAGAACTTGATAAATAAATACAACGCCTGCTAGGCAAAGTTATGATTCTAGA